TTTAGCATTTATGTAAGTACTTAAACATCCTGATTTTACAAATACTTACCGTTACCGTTACAGCCTACTAAATTCTACTGCTGAACATACGCCTCCTCCATAGATTGCCTATTAGGCAATCTATGGCAAGAGGATTGGTAACTGCAGTTTATTTTCAATTTTTAGTCGTTATTAAGAAGACGTGGCTGCCCATTTCTTGATTCGTTTCCTCTCTATTGTCTCTTACGACACCCATGGGATGATATGGGGTAGTGCGTATTTCTACACCGTCACTTCACGGCCTTTCACCGCCACTGGATCATTTTTCAGCCACTTCCGTCTTGTATTATAAGAACTATGATGATTATAAGTAAAGTCAAATTATGATATTTAAAGTTCTACATCCCAGCTAGAAAACCATAATTTGCTTGTGATTTTTCCTGTACCCTAACACTATTTAATGGATATGAGCAACTAAAGATTGTAAATATTCCTTTTTTCAGCCCGATGCAAAAGGAGGAGTCTTACAATTCCACTGTAAGTTTTTATTTTTATTTTTTTATTATGTATGTTTTCCATATCATCAGCGGTTTTGAACTCATTTTGATGATTTTTTTAATTAAATATACATTTGAAGGAAAACTTCCACCCCTAAAGGTGACAATTTAGGGCATGAAGTTTTAATAGAAGACAATGAGACTGCACAAAAAATTATGTGCTTGCACAAATGCCAACTACGACTGTGGCCCGAATTCAGGATACGCAACTTAGCATGCAGGTGCTCTAAACACGACCACACTGTCCTAACTGGTCTAGTAACAAATAAGTATTCATAATATAGCCTACTAGTGAAATAAGTTGGACTCCCAATTGGTCAATTTCTGCTTAATTGTGCGAATTAGCTGTAATGCCCACATTTCCCGGATTGATGATAGAAGTAACAGAATATTTTTGTCTCGTATTTTTTGGGATTATTATACATGTGTATTTTTAAGAACAAGATATTTTTGCAGTCTATTTACTTTTAACCGATTACCAGAATACATTTTGTTAGTAAGCAGAATCACAACAAGCAGACAAGATTGATACTTAGAAAAAAAGTTTGCATATTCTTCCTTATTATTCGTCTTATTTAAGTTCCTCACTACAATACTCTACAACAACAGTATTGTTATTATTAAAACTAAATAGCCTTCTTAATATCGGATAAGTTTCTTTCCCTCTTCTATGTCCAATCTCATGATCAATATTGTACAATAAATAATAGATTATATGTAGTACCGGTATTCTCATAAAGGAATATACGTAGAGCTTAATAAAGTAATGGCTTTATTATACTGATTTCCACTTGTATTATGTTACAAAAGGAAGGAACCGCAACGAAATCAGTTGATATAAATTTGCCTTAACTAGCAGCGATGGAAAATGCGGTAGCGAACTGAGCAATGTTAATATCTTTCGCACTTAATGATCACGACTGGGCTTCAGTGAATGGTACTAGTGGCCTGTTATTGTCTGATTCAAATAACTAGAACATTCTGAAAACGGTTATGACTATGGTAAGATGCAATGATATTAAAAAACAATGTGGCTTCTTATTCCATGTTGTCGTATTCCCGTTATGACATTACTGTTTTCTTTAACGACTGTACTCTTCTGGACTTTCATTATAAAATATTTAATCAAGACTAAATAGTAAATTATACACACGCACACATATATATTGTTTATTAAATACCTTTATATAATTCTCTTTTACTTAATAAATAACAAGAGTTTTAGAGTACCTGAGTCATGAACACTGTGACCCTTATATTAGGGTTGAAAAAATCTTGGAAATTGTTTGTATGAATAATTAATGGAGCTTTCAAATTTATTTCTCAACTATTCGCTCTTTGTAAAGACCCGGTTATTATTAGATATTATTACGTTTTGAATGGAGATACAATGGAAATACAACCTATTTATAAATAGTATATTTTTCCGTATATAAACATGGTTTTTTAAGAAAATACAACGAGGACTTGGTGTGTCATAAAATAAAAGGGTATTTTCGTATTGTATTTTGATTCAATTAGATGTTCTTGTAAATCCCTGGAGGACTTCTTTTAAATCCGTAGTCTATTAAAACCAACCCTATGCTGAAATTATAGCGAATATAATCGTTGTTAATCAATTATTCATCTAATTATAATCACGCATGCATGTAACTAGTAATTAACGATCTAAAATTTTTAGTAATTAGATAGTTAGCAATTATTTTATTCACTATCTATCAAATAATGTTTTCTTTTTAGTTTTTTTTTATAGGATAAGGGTGACAAACGGGCACACAGTCCACCTGATGGTAGGTGGACGCTATGGCCCATAGACATTATACCTCACTTAAGAATCAAAATGCAGATAAGTTGTCACCCTTGAGGACTAAGATTTAATGCCTCGATTCTAGTAACCGGGTCTCCAGTTCTCTACACTCACCATACGAAACACAACAAAAGCTGCCAAATAGCAGAATTAAGCTGCTATTTTACGCTGGTATTCTATGGGTAATATAAAACCTTTTAAATTAATTGGCAGCTAAAAATGAAAATTTTAATACAAACTTTTTTCTGTCGTTAGTACGCACCAGATACAGAACAATTTTTACAATTTAAAACACACTAATATTTATTTTATTGTAACAGCCCTTCACAAGTGTACGGCTGAAGATAGGTCTTTCCCAAAGAAATCCACAAAAGTGGTGGTCCTGAGCAACCTGCATCTTACGTGGTGTCATCCTATCGCTTAGCCGTACGTACGAAGCTGATACTCGAAAAACTTTCGTGCCCATTTGTTTTCAGTTCTACGAGCTATAATATGGTCAACCCATTGTTGGGAAATGTTGGATAATTTTATAATGCAGAGAAACACCTAGCATAACCCTCTCCATAGCTAGCTGACCTTCAGCTTCATACGCCATCTTTGAAGGACTACTCTCGCAATGGTTGTTCACTCTTGTTTTCAAGTATTGCTGAAAACGTGACGAGAAAATCTGTCGTAATCTCCCAAACGCTTTCTAACCGAGTTGGATCCATCGAATAACCTTTTGGTCGACGTTGGTCTTACCTAGAATGACATAAACGTACTCGTTAACAACTTCAAAAGTATTGTTAAATGACAATTTTTTATGGATAAAAATGTTCTGGTACTGTACAAAAAAAAACTTTGTAAAGCTGGTAATAATTCAACATTTTAAGCAGCGTAATAAATAAAGAAAATTATTTTTCTCTTCTACCCTACAATTATCAAACAAGATTGAGATGTTAACATAAAATTTGTAACCAGTGTACTTCCCTCTAAGGAAATCCTGAGGGGACGTCTCCATAAATAAAGGAAATGAAATGAACGAATAACGTAAAAAGGGGAGCAACGGCAAATACATTTGTACGATAATGAGACAACACGATTTGCGGCGAACGTTAACAAACTTGCTTCCTTTCCGTTTACTCTATATCCCATATGACTTCTTTATTACGCTTAGGTCATCAAATTGAATTAAGCTTGTGGCAGAAAATATGTGTCTTTAAGAAAGATATACAAAGAAATGGGAGTGATTCATAATTGATTAAAATAACTCAATCTCATCGCCTACGCAGTTCTTTAAACACCACAGTTTTTAATAAAAATGAAGTGACAAACGATCTTACAGTAACCCTTTGGTAAGTAGAGCTACTGCAGCTCTTGGACACCTGTAACCGATTTCAAACCAAAGGAGGCTACGGATGAGTTGCCACCTCTGAAGACAATGTAGAATGCCTCAGAGCCTGTGAATATACCGTCTCTTTATAGCCTTTTGACCGAAGCAAAGCAGTGCACGCACTGCTGCTTAGCGGAAAAATAGCTAAGAGTGTGGTAGCAACCTAGACCGACTCCTAGGCAGAAAGGGAGTCTATAACCTCACATGATGTTTTACTTTTATTTTAATGCTATATAGCTGAATACGTTAGACCGTCGCATATAGTAACAATTCAATAACAACTGGTATTAAAAAAATATTATGGAAATGTAAACAAAATTAGTCTACAACGCGTGAATTGCGCCTTATTTTTTAATTTTATTTATTATTGTGACACAAACAGTTAAGACTAACACTTATTTCAATTAAGCCTGTTGGAAGATCTACACCTAGTTAGTTGAATCTGATTATAAATTTATATTGTTTGCAAACTAAAAAGCAATACTAACAACAACAGTGTAGCTACGCTTAAAATAGGTAATTTAATCAAAATTGTTTAGGAACTGACATTTAACACATTATAGAGGTTAACGAATGCTATGCTGTTTCTAAATAACTTTTAAATATAGTTCGTTAAAGACTTTGGAGAAGATATTGAGGGAGTAAAGTAGTCTTATATTGGCTATAGAATACTGTGTTAAATTATATCGTCAAATACAGTACAACTTTTCAATAAACACACAATCGCAAACAAAAAGATCGACATAATACTAAGTTTGTATAGCCTATCGTTATATAATCATATTTTATTTAAATTGTGTTCATTGGATATTTGTATTATTATAGATGTATACATTTTCCATTAAAACATTTTACCATCCCGTAACCAAATATACTTATAATGGAGTTCTTAATCTAGTTTACGCACTTTTTCAAATAAAGTTTTATTATGTGGTGCCAGGGGGTCATTAATAAAAACTGGTCTTGAGGTTGTTGTTCTGTGAGGTGCTTGTTGTTCGTATGGTTTCCTTACTGTGATCTTTGCTAGGATATCGCCTGACTCAATGAATGTAGTCGATATCAGACGGTGATATTATGAATCCAATCTTAGTTGCGATACTTTTTAGGATAGTATTGAGGTTTTTACCTTTCTTGAACGGGACTCCGGTAATCTACAAATTATTCAATCGACTTTGCTGCTCTCTGTCACTGAGCTGTATGGATAGGGTAGTAATGACGTGGTGTTTTTCAGACAATTCTTTTACTAGGACACTTGTCCTGACATTTATCGATTCTATTTGTTTATTTAGAGTCGTTGTGTTAAGTTTAATGTCATTAATTTCATAGGACATGCTTTCGGTAGTTTTATCTGCTCCTTCACATCACTAACATCGTCACATAACTTGCACATTTTTTCACTCTGCTTTCCAAGCAATTTCTTTAGCGATGCTATCATACTTTGCTGAAAAGCTGCCAATGGTTCGGATGTTTCGCAGCGATATGAAAAAAGTGAGTTGCTCAGCTCTTCGCGAAATGCAGCAATTTCACATTCTGAGGAGTTTTTATTTCTGATGGTAATGCCTTGTGAAGAGCTAAAATCCCGCAGTTTGGTGAGGTCAGGGTGAGAACCAGTAGGAGGAGTGCGCTGCAGATTCATTTTTTGGAAATATTATACTTTTATTCAATTTATTCGAGATATTATACTTGTACAGTTAGCGTACGAATAGGTTGCTCGACGTAAATAGTAGGTGGTGTGAAGGTATCAAAAGAAAAGTTAACAAAGTGTTCCGAGGATAACCGATACGCGTACGAAATTTACAATACACGTATGAATAATACGCTCGTTTAGTTGTAGAAGTACACGGAATAGGAATGTTTGTTAATGTCTCTTTCGCTCATATGCGGATACACTGTCAATATCCTTATTGCACTTCACAAGGTAATGAACAATAGTGTATAGCAACGTAATAATGTAATAGTTTAAGTGACACTGTGTTTCAATACCGATTTCAACTGACACTGATCCGCTCATCAACAGGCTTCGAACAAGACGCGTCGTTATCTACGCGACCGACCGTCGACCGTCTCTGGAAAGCCAAACAGGAGCGCGAGCTGTTAAGGTTAAAAAAGATAAAGTTACAGCCTATATACGTCTACAGGCCTCCTTTCATTTCCGAGAGAGTTTTATGGCAAGGAAATATCCGCGGCGCTGGCCAATGGATGTTGGCGAACTCCAAGTTTTCGAAATATTTTTTCTTATTTCTTAGACATACAGGTTTCCTTCACCGCCGAGTTCATTGTAAATCAGCACTTAAAATTGCAATTAACAATTTCATTGCTGCCGACGGGGATCGAACCCGGGTTGCTCGCATACTTTTAAACTTACAGCGAGCGCTTAGCCCCTAAGCTATCAACGCTCTCGAGAGCCGTGAGTTATCACTCTAATGCTACACCAATATTATATAAGATTGCATTTAATCCTGTATCATAATATCTATTGACGTCAAAGATTGTCCTATCCCATGGAATAGACTTTTAGTATAGCATAGTGAGCGATATCCAAGATATATATCGTGTAATGACGGTGCAAGAATATCCACTACTGCGTATTGTCCCCTCGCAAAAGGCGACAAAGGAAAATAAACAAAGAGTAAGGCAGCAGCGTCTTCCAAATAACTGCTGAAAACAGAAACTCCGGTTACTAACTCCCACGCCAAGCTTAGAAACTATGGCAAACATCCTCACTATGAGCCCAATCTATGGGTAGGTGTAGGTTTAGCAGCTTACTTTTGATAGGCTGTGATGATAACGTTCATAGGCACCTAATGCCTTCTCTAAATGCAACGCTGATGGTGTTAACTTAACGTGAGTTTTGTCCTAATGTGCGTTGGTGGAATTTACGATTGAGATTAATTCGGACAATTCCTCTGATTATTATGGAAGCCAATATATCTCGCATCACCAGTGAATCGTGCCGATTAGAAATAATTGGGTCGTCGACGATTCAAGCTCCGTTTTACTGGACATGGTCAAGTGGATCGAGCTGATAATGGGGTGCACCACTCCAGAAATGAGAGCAATATTCCAAGTGAAGCTGAAATTTTGCTTTGTAAAGTTGCTAGTGGTGTGCCAGCATGAAATGCCGCTCTGATGAGCACGCCGATCTTTTAAGACACAAATTTAGCAATCCCTTCCAAGTGACTACGAAACAATATGTCACACACAGAGTAATTTGATGTAGGCTGAGGTAGTGCCCTGAAATTGAGAACAAACAACAATGGGTTTTTTAGAACAATACCTGCAAAGCTGTGTCTTCTGAGGATTAAACTAGACTAGATTTAGTCGTTATGAATCTCAGACTTCGTTTGAAGAATCGACCTCAGATGCATTTCAGATCAGACTGCAGATCATGAACCGTTAATGAGTTGTATGCTGAAACAGAAGATTGATAACAAGATGCTTGTAAGTTAACTATTACAACACAAAAAGCAATTACTCGTAATTACTGAAAAGTAACTTTAGTGATCGAAAAAATATAACAACAATCTTCTGTATTCAATTTTTTTTATAGAATATGGGTGACAAACGAGCACAGTCCACCTGATGGTAAGTGGATGCTATGGCCCATAGACATCTACATTTGTCCTCGATGAAGAATCAAAACGCAGATGCGTTATCACCCCTGAGGACTAAGGCGGAATGCCTCGTTTCTAGTGAAAAAGGGTCTCCGGATATTTTACACTGACCATACGGAACACAGCAGTTTTAAGCTGCTATTTTACGCTAATATTCTGTGAGAGCGTGGTAATTCCCTGTTCGAGCCGACCCATTCGTGCTACAACCATAATATTACTGCAGCGTGACTCTACCACGTATAATACGGCATGTTATGTTTATTGATTTTATCAACGCACTTTAGGCAGTTATTTTCGTTAAAAGGTCATTTAAGAGATTATTTTACCATTTTAATACCGATATTTTTCCCAAAAACGTGTTTTGCAAACAACGGTTATTTCAGACATATGATCGAGATTTAGCCAGTTAACTCGCCTGCACGCTTTACACTTTGCTAGCTAAAGAACCAGGAACCACAAAAACGGTAGTTATTTGAAACTGTTGAATTTACATCCCGCAGACTAATCATGGCCAGAATTTCTATTTTGAAGGCATTGCGGTCATCGATTCCAATTCAGGATTGTTTGGTCAAATGTTTTGTGGTATTTTTAACCTTTTTACTGGTACGGAGTTTTTTCACTTTATTCCTCAAATTTGACTATGTATCACCTTTGGGGTCTAAAAGGATAGATGTAAGTGTTAAGATTCCACTTATCATCAGATAGACTGTGTGCTAGTTTGTCACCATCACTTATAAAACCCTGATGAAGTATTATAATAGATTTGATGGACACATGACTTCTTTTATAATTGAAAGGTATAAATGTTCAGTAGAACAGAAAAAATCCGCTACACTGCTACCGAGCTGGATACATTTCGCACGACATCGTCATTTTTACACGTAAGACTGCACTAACTAGCAGTTAAGCAGTCATTAGTGGACTTTGTAGACACATCCTCCTCTTACTAATATGTATCCCACTGCCTTGTTACCAGTAAAACGGATCTCTGGTTCCCGTCATTTATCAAACGGAACACAATATTGCAATGTTCTGCTATTTCATGCTGGTTTTGTGAAACTTTGTCCGTATAGCCAAAAAACATGATGAGTTCGGACAATAACAGACTATATAGTAGCTTCGGCCTGTTTAACTTTTTAATTAAGGTGTCGTGTTAAGACCAGAAATTGTCAGGAAATACTTTAGTACTCAACAAAGGCCCTCTTAGAGTAGCGGAACAGTACGTTATACGTTGTGTGTAGAGGACTTAAGAAAGCAAGTTTTATCAGGATTTTTTATTTCACTACTGAACAAGTATCATTTTAGCATGCGAAACTACCCCATACCATCCCTTGGGTAAACTATAAAGGGCCCGCAACGCACCTGCAATTCCCCTGGTGTTGCGGATGTTCATGGGTGTCCGTAGTCACTTAAAATCAGGTGAACCGTATGCGTTTTCCCCTCTTCTATAAAAAAAAAAACTAAACAGAAGGTGGATGGCAGCATCTGCCTGCCAAGCGTGGCAAATATGGAAAAACCTCCCATATAAAACAACAAATAAAACAATTTATGGGCTATATACATCAGTGGACTTTTATAGATTGTTTTAATGGATGGAAAAAACATTACCGTTATAAATTGTTAATAAATTCGATATCTGAATATAAAAAGTAACTAATTATTATTCCACCAACGCACGAGAGAGTAGCGCGTGAGTAACTACATCGCTCTAAATTGCCCGACTTGGTCCAACTGTGCCAATTCTCCTCACCACAAGTGCAGTGCTCCGGAACTTTGCTCATATTTAATTTGGCAACGTACACGCTTGAGGCTGCCTAGATAATTGTACCTCATTTCGTATTCTGTTTATATTTAAAATGTTTTGCTTTACGACGAAATGTAAATAATATTACATATTTATTACTCAAGTAGTGAAATTCTCCAATGGCGAAATTTTAATAATAAAAATAAAATTACGACGATTTCGATAGTCTCATAACACTACATTTTCTCTATTAGCATTATATTGGCTTCCATAATAACTGCTCGTAGCGTTGTTGGCCGCAGGTAAGCTTTAATCACGAAACAACTATTGACTTATAAATTATTATCGCTTAAGGTTTGGATGTTTGTTCTTGCGCAATTTATGTATGTACGTCGCCTTAAGATTTATCATAAATTTTTAAATTGGGAATAGTCTCTTACTTTAAATATAAATAATTTTATGGAGACAACACCAAAGGTCGCTACAATCCCCTCATAATAATATTCAAAGAACGTCAAAAGTATTAAAGGAAAGAATTAATTATAAAAAGGTAAAATTAAACGCGATTTAATCATAAAAAATTGTTTTATTTAATGTGTAGGCTTCTCGTAATAATAAATCATTATAATATTTTTATAGTGTCTTATCTTTTAACCGACTTCAAAAATGAAGAGGTATTTAATTGGCCTGTATGTTTTTTTACGTCTTACATTAGAATTTTTTTCTGGGTGCTTCCGATTTTGATATATATATTTTTTTTTTAATCCGGTGCTTCTCGTGTAGTCCCATATAAATTTAAACAAGATCTGATAAGTCATAGATGACGGGAATGGTTGACTTGACTATGTTGAAAAAAATCGAACACCGTGCGGTGATTAAATTCCTTGCTAAATAAGAAAAAACTCAAAAATACCTCCGACTACGCCCTGACTTTGAAAGTTACGAAGTCTACGGAGGTCCCGTATCGTTTTAATCGAACTCCTTGTTTCGCTAGACTCCGACGACATAAATGTCGCAGGCCAATCACGCAACAACATTAAACACTAAATTAGTGCGACAAACACAATTAGGATATTGGATGGTTCGCAACGAGTCCGTAGACAACACGTCCCTGGGTGGTTTTCCCTGTCTCAAACATAGAACGATACGTGTTGGCCGACAGAACCAGTGCCCGCCACCACCTGTTTAGACGGCCGTTAGATAACTCATTTACGTGCACTTTAAATTGACGGAAGTGAACATCGTTATGCAAATAACGATGCAGAATAATTTGAATTC